TCCCATCGCAGTTCATTAACCACAATAGAAGGTTACTGGATAATGTGGTGCACATACATACAGAATTTGCTATGCAATCACACACAGTGCCACTCACTTGTCAAAGTAAATGATGTGTCCACAAGCATGGGGAGGGGGGTCTTTTACAACAGTGTGAGAAATGACTCTTCCTCAAGCTGCCTATGCGTTTAATACCAGACACAAATTTCAGCCTGTATGTTGAGTTGTTGTTTATTGTCAAGAGGACCTTCAAGTCAAGATGTCATTTTTTAGATTTTATAACGCACACTGTGAAAATCGCTCAAAAGGTCTTACAAGGTCTTTCACTGTTTGCCGCTTCCATATTGACACAATCAATTCACGACTAATGGAGGACCAGAAATAGGACACATTCCACTTATAACCAGTAGGTCCCCTGATTCGGGTGGCTCCATACAGCTTGCTCTGAACATTCTTTCACCAGAGAATGAGATGCTTACATTATTCATTGGTTACACAGTCAGATATGAAAGTGAAATACCTCTGCAGATTATTGTTGCCACATTAATGAAAGCATAACACCTCTTTACCAGGCTTAATAATAGCCACATAAAATGAGAGCAGCAACGAGGTCAATACTGGCTAATCAACACACATCACTCTCTCTTTTACGTGAACACACTACCCATGCTCCCGCTCTCTCTGTGACCCAGTTAGATATTCCCAGTCACAAGCCTGCTCTGTTTTATTATGGATTAACTGCACACATGGCAGATTCTCCACTGCTCTCTTTTTGGACAAAAAAAACTATGGATGACTTTGGCCTGTATTCATTGATTAGATTATTAAGTTGTTATACTATGTTCATTGGTAAATTAATGTGATTATAATTAAAATTGCCAATTAATAACTCAAGACCAAAAATATAAGAGAACATAACCACACAAGCAGTGACGTGAAGCTGTATACTGGGCACAGCACACATGCTAACACACTAAAGTAAGATGATGAATATGTTAAACATTACCTGCAGAATATTTTAGCATGTTAGCATGCGCTGTCCATTTGCCAGTTACAAATGTCTATATTTAAAATTTCTGTTGACACAACAAATAAGTTGGTAATGTTTTTATTATTATTTTATTGTATTGTGTTACAGGTGACTCCAAGGATGATGACCTGCGTGTCTCAAAGACCAGTAGCACACTCTCGCTTGATGGTAACATGGACACATCCACCACAGCCTGCAAAACACCAAACCAGTCCTGGACTCCCACCTACCAAGATGATTTTACTCCCAGCGAGTCCCTGCGCCCTTCTCTTGCTCTCAGCCCCGCCCTTTTCGTCCCTCTGTATTCGGACTGGAATTCTGCCCTCGCCACATGGGGATTTGCATGGGAAGCACACATCTATGGCCTGGGGTCTGTCTTCACTGTGTTTGGCCTAATCTCTGTGGTCTGCCTGTTAGGCCTGCCCCTGCGGTGTCCCCCAGGTAGCTCCTACTTCACCTTGCTGCACTTGTTCCTCTTGGCATTTGCAGGGATCCAAGCTTTCTGTTTGCTATATGATGCTTACAGTCACCAAGATCGTCTCCCCCCTCTGGGCTCTCTGCTGCTCTCTGAGCTTCCCTTCCCCTGTTTGATCTCAGCCTTTTCCCTTGCCTTCCTCCTTCTTTCCTTGCGCTCACGCATGCATCTTTCGCTCCCACTTGCTAATTCCACCTCATTCTCAGCCTTGCCCAAACCTTGCCTGTTACTGTGTATGTCCCTGTTGTATTCTGGCATCTCTCTGGGGTGTGTTGGCATGCTCCAGCTCTTCCACAGCCTCCCCACTGGAATTCTGCTATTCCCTCAGGGTGTGTTTGTGTGTCTCACCATCTTTCTCTCATGCTCCTACCTCATCTTCTACTGCTTAATACAAGTCAACACTAAACACATGTACAGGCTGAATGACAATGGAGAGAGTGGAGAATCTCCTGAGGTGATGCGACCTGCAAGGTGCCCCTTTGCTAAAGGGGAGGACTGGAGTAGGGCAGCTGGAGCTGGAGTTGGGGCTTCATTGTGCTTGTTAGGATGTGGAGGCCTCCAGCTTTATGGGATCCTGCATGCCCTTGGTTTGGGCGGCGTTGGTGGCTATGGGTTCCAGCCCTGGCCCTGGTGGGCTACCAGGTGGGCTGCAGGCTCTGTGAGGCTGGGGTGTGTCTAGGTTTGTCTCTCATTGGTACACACCCTCTATTCTGTCACAACTCCTCCTCTATGAAGACCATAACTCATCCTCGGCCAGGATCTTGGTCCCGCCTCTCCTGCAGCTCCCCTTCGCGAGGGCTCACCCTGCCCTCTCAGGGAGGTGCAAATACTCTCTCCTCTCATGATTCCTGGTCCCAGGGTAAGCAGGAAAAGCTGGTGGTCTGCGATATCATCACTAAGGGACAGTCAGAAGCTCTTCCTCTTTTCTCAGTGGTGGATCCTCCTGGAAATGGGCTAGACTGTGTCCCCAAGTCCGTTCAAACCTGGAACACTGTTCTACCTCTACCTACACCCCCAAGCCCACCACACAAGCCAAAGAATGCAGGTGAGTTTCAGCTATCATCACTGGATAACCTAGGCCTGGAAACTGACTCTACAGTGGATTTGCAGCCCCCATCTCCCATAGACTTGTCCCGCAGCATTGACCAGGCTCTGTTCAGTGAATCCTTATTTTCTCACAGTATCTTTGGTTTGCCAAGACTATTCAATGCTTCTTCCAGCCTCTCTTTGAGCCCTACCCAAGGTACGTCAAAGCAAGGGCCTAGCTCTGTGGAAAACGCCCTCTACCGAACCTCTTCCTGTGGAGACGTGGATCAAGAGGACTTCCTGTCCAGTTCAAGACCCTCCCAGCCACATTGCTCTTTAAAATCTCACAGCAAGCCAACAAAGTCACCAGAGCAATGGGATTGGAAAGGGAGTGTCTCTGGCTCAACCCAGGGTTTGTGCAGCAATCCCAAGGAGACAGGAAAGCTGCGCTCACATCCCTGGGCAAACAGAGGTCAAAGCTTTGCTCAGAGTAGCCTCCCACGAGCAATCCCCCAACTGTCTTACCACAGGCGTTACCGAACCCTGAGCTTAGCCTCCCAGGACAGTCACGGATCGGGCCGGCTGGCAGGGACTAAACACCTGAGTGAAAGCAAACAGCTGGAATGGGATCTGGCTGTACAGGCAGAGTTTGTCAACGTCTGCAGACAAATTGACGCTCTGAGCGTTTGCAGTGACACTATTGAATTGTAGAAAGTTGTAAAAGTCCCGTTGTGACTGGAATGCACATGACATTGTACAGAAATAGCAGACTCTGATTAGGTTACATGGAGGAATTAAAGTATACATCATAAGTTATACAGATGAAAATAGTTACCTGAAGTAATGAAAGAGGAATGGACAATATTATTTTAATGGACCCAACTTATTTTCTATAAATGCTGTACTGTTGATATTATATTATATTCAAAACCTGATTTTAAAGGCTGACTGCATCACACTGTTTTCAGCAACTTCACTAAGCTCTTCTCTTAGTAATGTTTTTTTTGTTTAAATGTTGTGGCAGTATTCTGATGTAAATGCTCATTCCAGTTAGACATTCATGAATGTCAAGGAAAAAATATCTCTTGTTAAAGTGTGCAAATGCTATACAGAAGTTAACTGAAGCAGGAGTATAAATATTTGTATAACTGATATGTTGAGCTTTTTATATATTTGAAGCTATCCTGCAGTAAGAAATTCAAAGAGTCTATGCTAGGAATATAAAGGAGAGCCTTCTTCAATAGGGAGTGGACAAACAATGTTGTACAAAATAGAGTTTCGTTTTACACAGTTGATGTACTGTTGTGTTTTCATGATCGAAAAAGTGAGATGTGCTCAAAAGGACTTAACATATAAAGAGATAAGCCCCTTTGACCTCTTCCCTGTTGTGATTTTGTGTACACAATTTAATCCAGAGTGGTAAACAATATGAGGAAGACTTTAAATTCAAATTCATCAGAGGGAGCTAAACAATTGTAGTCTGTTTGTAATAGGAAAGCATAACAAGTTGCCCACCCACTATCAGCACCTTGCTGACCATTAAGATGTTACTTCATCAGTGGAATAGACATTTTGCATGTAGTAGGCTACTTTTCTCACATGATCATCATATGTTATTATAATGTGTGGCGTAATAAACATGGTAATTCAACGAAAATCCATATACAGTATACACAGGATGAGTGTGTCTTAAATATTTCTGTATTACCTACTTTAGCAAACCATTTTAGCAGCCTGTACCATCAATGAATAAATCTGAGCTTTTTTTTTTAAATTAATAGTGGGTGGCAAACTGTAGTAAGGTTACAAGGGCACAGCACAAGACATTACTAAAAGTATGAAACATGAATAGTGAAGTGGTTGGATTTTGAATATATTGCCCTCTAGTGGTAATGACACAATTACCCGTTTGCAATTGTAAAAACACAGGAGTCAAGATGAGCAATGACTTTTTCCCTCATATTTTTCTGGAAATATGGCAAACATTTTAAACAAAAATTAAAATCCCTGTGTCAATATTATATTTATTCATGCAACACTATTTACAGTAATAATTTTGAAGTCTCAAGGTATGTAATAGAAGAACACAGTTTTTGTACTTTCTGTAACCCTCAAGTAAGAAATTGTCAAATAATTTTGTCAAGAGCTAATTTTTCTTGTTTTCAGGTTATTGCAAAATGAAGATCCAGAGTGTACCAAAGACAGTGAGTACCTCCCAAGAAAATTAATTAATTACATAAAACTGACAAATCAATATTTTGTCTACAGTTCCATAAAGTATAAATAAATACATCCATTGCAATTTGTTTATTACTACCCTACTCCACTGACTCCACAGCACTATTTCACTGAGCCTGCAAAAAAAGGACAAGTTACTACCCACTTACCATAATTAATAATGTGTTTTTGTTAAACATAATTATAGAAGATCACAACATGGCAAGCCAATGTGACTCGCTGTGACTTGCTTTATGAATCTAAAAATGGAGACGGCGTATGGAATGATAATCAGGTAACTGAAAGGTAGAGGGTGGATTGTCTCCTGTCTTGTCACTCGAGAAAATCCACAGTGAGAAATCTGTAGTGAAATTACACATGATCCCTTCTTTAAGCACACATTGTAAAAAGAAATATGTGTAGATGTGAATTAATGCTGATGCTAAGCTTTGGTCTCTTCTGCAACAGTGCAGCACATTCAAAGAGCTCACTAATAAAGGATGAGATTATATGCAGGGCATCCATCATGTAACAGCCAAATTTTCACCTGTCAGAGAAATTACATTGAATTTGCTTAAACGACATGGAAGATAATGAGAACATATTTGTGCTATATATCCTATAGCCCTATATTGAATGTTTCATCCTGGCTCAGTAAGCCACATGGTCATAGGCCAGAAAATGTGACCATAACTACATATAATACTATCATATAATTATTTTACATTTCTGGAATGTGCTTCCATTATCAGCAGAGATATGTCTTAAAGCATTTTAACTTGTATGTTAAACTTCACTTTTAATGAAATAAAATGTTAGCTGTTTAAAACATTATGCCAGAGACATGCTGCTTTTTGTGATGTATCTGACCGCCTGATTTCCTGGAGAGAAAAAAAGTATGTATCTTGTATGATATGTTAAATGAGCATGGAAATATAGGGGTGCACCTATGCAGGGTTTGTTGTATACTCTTCTGTATCAGGGTGCAATTCAGAGACCAATGAGGAGATGGGCATCTCATTAGATTTTTTAAAGTGTATTCCATGAAGGGTTCAAATAGACAGACAAGAACACGAGAGGAGGGCACAGAAAAGCAGGTTGTCTGGTTTTTGTGGATTTGAGTGGGATGTTGTAAAACAACGAGAGCTTTGTGTTTGTGGTTTGATCACATGCTCCCGTGCATCTGCTCATAGCTGCTGGGGTCGGGACGTTAGGTCTTGATCGAGTGTTTCCTGTTCCTCCCGCCTCAGTAAAGTCGCTTCTCGTAACTACACATTGGAAAAAGAAAAGGCAGAGTATAGGCATTTCCTGTGGTGTCATAACATTTAAACCAATATAAGGCAATCTTGGAAAGCGATGAATGAATGAAATAAGATGGAAGTATTATAACCACATGGATGTACTTACATGGCACAAAAGAATATCTAATGTGATAGCATGGGTAAGAGAAGAGGAAGAGAGAAGACAATTTTGATGCCGCTAACCACAGGTAAATTCCATTCCATTTGACAGTGAAAGGTTTCAAAGGGACTGAATACAGTGAAGCTTAGACATGCATTGTTAGTGTCTTTGCTGTTATAAAGAAACTTGGTTGGTCACATATTTAGAGAGGAAAGCGATGATGACAGGCTTCGCCACAGTACCACTGCCACCAAAATATTTAGACAGTAGGGGCTACCAAGGGGGATAAAGAAAAGAGGCATGTACTGTAGTAAGAGGGAGTTGCAGGGGAGGGGGAAAGGTCAGGAGCCAGGGGCCAGGGGTCAGGGGTCAGAGGTCTGACTTACGAGTGTAGGCCATGGACTCCTCCCTCCATTTGAGCAGACATGGTTCTCTTCTCGAACTTCAGTTCTCCAGAGTACATCATCGACCTGGTGCAAAGACCCACAGCTCTTTCTAACGAAAAGCCCTTACACTATAAAACAGTAAACACACACGTGCAATTTCACACTTACCGTAAAATGGACAAACTCTTGGCTCCTATGTCCTGACAGCCATGTTGGATACCAGCAATGAGGTAAGGAGCAAACTTATGGATGGAGCCTTTATCTTGTACTGATCCTGAGACACCTTGAGCCACCTTCACCTTATCTCCCTCGCTGGACACACAAATACAAGTCGCACAGAGTAAGAGATGCATGTGTCGCATATACTTTTTTTTTTTCTAGAATATGTGTTTACACAGCAAAGGACCTCTGTGACCTCACTCCCCACCTGAAGTAGCGTTTCTGACTGTTATTTTTCTCCATGGCATCCAAGGAGCCCATTCCTCTGTACTTTTTCAGACGCACACCATCTGAAAAGAAATATTCTCCCGGAGCTTCAGTGGTTGCGGCGAGCAATGACCCCATCATCACTGAGGGCAGAAATATGACAGGACCAAAAAAAATGTTATGAAGTGATTAAAAGGACAACAGGCAAGGGCAAAAAAAGACGACAACAAAAAAGCAAAACATTTCCGAAAAACAACACTTTTATTATATAAAAGTAGTGTGTTGGTTACACAGTTGGTTAACAGTGAGATCACTAGAGTTGTCTTTCCACATAAAGGTCCACTGAATTCAAATGTGAATCACTATATAAAGACTTATGTAGAAGGAGAACAGGAGAATGCTGCATTTCTCTACCTGTGGATGCTCCCAGGGCTAGAGCCTTCACCACGTGTCCAACAGTCTGAATGCCTCCATCAGCAATTACTGGCACTCCAAATCGTCGGGCATACTCTGCAACCTTGTACACCGAGGTACCTTGGGGCCGTCCACATGCCATCACTGAGGAACAGGAGCACAAACCGGTGTGTTGGTGAAAAATATCCCCAATACAGCTGGGATGAACATTATTATGTTCCCTGCTTTATGTTTATCACATGTAAACTAATAACTTTTTCTAACTTATCCAAGAATTTAAATGCAGTGCTCCTGTGAAAAGATGCAGTTTTGTTGACTTTTTCAAAATACAAGGTTTTATCTTAAAGAAGCAGACGTTCACAGTACCAAACTCGTTGTCTTACCTTCCTGGGTGATACAGATAGAGCCACACCCCATGCCCACCCTCAGGGCGTCCACACCAGCATCTATGAGGTTTTTAGCCTGAGCAGCTGTCACCACTAGAGAGAGACAGACACCAGAAAAGAGCTCAATGTGGGAAATGTGCAATAGGTTAAAGAAAGGTTTTTACACCACAAACGCATAAGAAAGCTCAGAGACAGGAAGAGAGCTCACCATTTCCTCCAACTACCTGTAGTTCAGGATATTTCTGCTTGATGTAGTTTATCATGTTGATTTGATACACTGAGTTTCCTTGGGAGGAATCCTGCTCAAAATGAGAAGTGAAATAGTTTCAAGGAGAGATGAAGCACTTACTTTAAGAAACACTCCACAAGTTTAAATTAAATCAATAAATTAGGTAAATTAGAACAATTCCTATTTAATATAATCATCAACAAGCCCCAAAGCCGCCACATTCATCCTGCCTGTAAGATGTGGACAATTTGACTGTTGAGTGCTATGACATCAGAATCAAATCTTAAACTAACCAATAAGCTCATCAAACCACAGTCAAAACCTACCAGGACTACCACATCCACCCCAGCCTGCATCAGGAGGTCCAGCCGGTATTTGTCGTCATCCCTCGTACCGATAGCGGCTCCGCACAGCAGCTGTTTGCGGGAGTCCTTGGAAGCCAGAGGATAATCTCTGTTCTTCTTCAAGTCAGTCCTAGCAATGATGGCAACCAGCTCATCACTGTCATTCACTATGGGGAGCTTACCTAGGAGAGTGTGAAGCGAGTGAATGAAGAAAGAAAAAAGAAGTATACATATGAGACCAAGTGCTGGTTACATTTGCTCTACAGTAGCAAGACCTACTTCACAGATTTACCTTTTTTGCTGCGTTGCAGTATATCATTAGCCTCTTTTAGAGTGACTCCAGCAGGTGCAACAACCAAATCTTCCCTTTTTGTCATTGCCTGGATCAAAAAGTCGTATATTACTATTCCACCCACTTTTTTTGCATCATACAATTATTGCATATATTGCGTTCTCAAACACATGCACACATAAATACACTGTTATACACCCACCTCCTCCAAGGGTCTGTCATGGTCCTTCTCAGACAGAAAGTCTATATCTCTGGAGGTGATTATGCCGACCAGCTTGCTGCCTCTTGCCAGTCTCTGTAACAGGGATCCCAGAGAAACCGTGGAGTGTCTTCGCCTCAAACACGTCCCCCACTGTGTGTCGGGGACTCATTACCACTGGGTCTGTAATAAAGCCCTGCTCAAATTTCTGGCAAGAACAAAAACCAAGTGTTGAGTGATTAGAGGACATTCAGTGTATATTGTTTTGAAATAACATTATTATTCTGAAAAGGTGTCACAGATCACTTTCTCTGTGTACTTTAAGTTCATTCCTTTGTTGACTTGGTCCGTCTTACCTTGACCTTGCGCACCTCATTGGCCTGGGACTCAGCAGTACAGTTATGATGAATTATTCCAATCCCACCCATCAACTGAAGCCAGCCAATCACAAACACAAGAGCAAAGAAGAAACAACACTGAAAAGGTAACCAAAGCCTTCAGTGCTATTGTGCACTTAGCACTGCGGAGAAGGATGATGCTAAGCTGGGTGTGTGTAAGGTTGAGCACTGTTTGTACTCACTGCCATGGCGATGGCCATGGATGATTCTGTGACTGTATCCATGGGAGATGAAATAAGAGGTGTCTTCAGGGTTATCTTCCTTGTCAATGCAGAGGTTAGATCCTAAACATGGGTTGCATTTGGAAACCAAACATCATCTAATGACCTTAAAACACAAAAACACATATAGCAAAAATATACAGACTATAATCTTAAATGTTTTGCTATGACATACTCTAAATGACAAGTACACAGCTGCAACACATTTGTTAACCAAATGTTAAAATTTATTTTTATTTGTAGTGCAATGGGCCTAAAAGGCAGTCTGGGCACATTAGAGGCTGACTTGTTGAATTCACCTGCTTGACTCTTACATGACGCAGGCGTGTGTCTGTTTTGAACACCTGCTGTCCCACAATAGGCCATGTGACCTAGGCATGAAATTCATTTAATGTCCCAGCAGAGCTTGCAAA